ATTATCGCTAGCCACCCTCTTTCCAACCACGTAACCTCTCCCACCAGATTTCGAACTTCTAACAATCCGTCGATACTGGATCTTGTGCTAACTAATGAAGAACTCATGGTTGATGGGATAGTTACAAGCACATCACTGGGTTGTAGTGATCATGTCACTCTACTCTTTGATTTTATATACTATGCCGAGTACCATGAAAAGGAGGAGGATAAAGTGCATATTGTCACACACTACAATGTGTTATCTAAGCTTGTTAAAAATACATCTTGGACTTTTTTAACCGAATGCTTCCCAGATGCTGCCTGGGAAACATTTACAAGGACGTTTAGCACACTGGTAGCGCATGCATCAGAACAGAAGTCCTTCCAACTCAAAATCAAGCGTAAGTCATTTCTGAGGAGCAGAACACGTAAATGTCTGTCCCAGAGGAATTTGGCATGGCGAAATCACCAGGACTGCCCGAATGCCGAAACCTGGACCGCATACGTGACACATTGTAACTTCTGTGTGAAACTGATCCGCGAAGACAAGGTCACTTATCATCAGGAGTTAATGAAGCGATTCTGCACGAACCGCAAACTCCTGTACAGGCACGTTAACGGCCTTAGAAAGGTAAAACGAGGGGTTCCAGCACTAGTCACGGCTGATGGGTGCAGACGATCAGCAATGGAAGCAGCTGATCTCCTACGGCTTCATTACTCCCAAACTTTCCAGCAAGTAACGAGCACAAACATTCCCCTCAATTCTAATACTTCCCCATCTGGTTTAGAAATCATCACCTTCACTGCGGAAGCTCTGTTGAAGTAGTTGTTATCCTTGCGTATTCACAGTTCTCCCGGAGCTATTAACATCCGACCAATGGCTCTGCAGGCGGTAGCTAGTGATCTAGCAGAACCACTGCCTGTTTTCTATCAGCGATGTCTAGAGGAAAACCGTATTCCACCAGTATGGAAGCAAGGGGTCATCACTCCCCTCAATAAAGGAGGTAGCCGCACTGATCCTGCCAACTACCGTCCAATAACACTACTTCCCGTACTATCCAAAGTGATGGAATCAATCATCGCAGATGCGCTGATGCAATACCTGGAAAGCCACAATTTAATAGCTCCAGAGAAACCTGGCTTTCATCAAAAGCATCCCTGTAATACTAATCTATTAATAGCACGTGATAGCTGGACTGAAGCTGTTGATGATGGAGTGGGAGTCGATGTCATCTACCTGGACTTTTCAAAAGCGTTTGATCGCTTAGACCATCGAGTTCTCCTTCAGAAGCTTCGGAACTACGGCATTGGCCATCTAATCCTGAGTTGGATTAGCAATTTTCTACAAGAACGACGGCTAGTGGTGAGAGTCCGAGAATCACTCTCTGATGCAATCGATGTGGCGTGTGGAGTACCACAAGGCTCGGTGCTTGCTCCTCACCTATACTTGGTGCTCATTAACGATTTGGCGAGATCAATTACTTCCGATTTCCTACTTTTCGCTGACGATATCAAGATATGGCGAAGGATCAGAGGACCGGACGACCGTGAACGGCTCCAGTGCGATCATAACACAGTGTCGAACTGGTCAGTTCAAAACGCCATACCGTTCAACGTAGACAAACGTCGCGTTGTACAACTACACTATAGACACAACTACACCTATATACTTGAGACAAATGGATTGCAGAATAGCTCCCAGGAACGTGACCTGGGTGTGATCGTACAGAGCGACCTCAACTGTTCAAAACTGGCTGAGGTAGCGGCGAAAAGAGGCAACCAGCACGTCGGCATGATGCGAAGGGCATTCGGGAGATTTGACCCATCAATCTTCCCAATGATGCACAATTCCTACGTGCGCCCGCATGTTGAATACGCTATCCAAGCTTGGCAACCTTGGTTGAAGCGCGACCTAGAAGCGATAGAGGCACCACAACGAACAGCAACAAAGAATGTAAAGGGCCTGCGCTATCACACCACCGAAGGCTGAAGTTGCTGGGAATTTTCAGCGGACGTTATCGAAGGCTGCGCGGCGATCTAGTATCAGCGTATCAGATACTGTGTGACCCCAACCACGTATGCCGCCTTTTTGCTGAAACTCAGCCACAAAACGCTGCTGAGGGGCAACCGCTTAACTCTGAAGGAACAATATAGCCGTCTAGAGTGTCGACGTAATTACCTTTCCCTTCGGGTTTGCCAACCATGGAAAGCACTCCCAGACTCAGTGGTATCCTCTCCTACCTTGGATGTTTTCAAAAAACGACTAGATGTTGCTCTTAGCTCCCAACCTTTTGTTACCTAAGCTCCTCTATTGTGGATTACGTCAAGCATCTTCTCAACAGGATTTATGTATAAAATGGACCTAAGTGAGCGACCATATTTTACTTTTCTCACTCTTTACCTCAACAATCACTGCACCCCAGTTTCTTTCTGAACGGTTACGTGCGATACTTTTTTCTCATTTCACACTGATGGAAATTATCAAAGTATTCATCTCGGCAAACGTTCGATAGATGACCCAGACATATTTTACTTGCATCATATTCACCGCAACCATCCTACGGGAAGTGTCAAACACTTGCTTTTATCCGGTGATAAATCATTGTTCATTGTTCATTGTTCAAGTGTCTGAGCCAAGCTGGTCTAGTAAGCCGCTAGTGTGGCCACGTGGGACAAGCATCTAAAAGACCAGTCAGCTGATTAGCATTAACGTAGTGTTTACAGCCTCGGGTAGTAATATACTTGATAAAGTACGTGTGCTCAATCATCGTTGCAGTTGGTCTGTACTTGTACCGGCGTGTTTAGTTTCTTGCACTTCAGGTCTTGGTTGTTGCTGCTATCCCCGATGTGAATGCTGGCCAGCTGTCAATCTGTTTAACACGCTCCACTTCGTCTATACTGGTTCCAGGAGGCTGTGCAAGGTTACTGGAGAGGACGGTGTGTACCGTCCTCTTGCCGGTGCTAGGTACAAAAGGTGGTTTCATACATTCATGGTGGAACGTGCTACTGACCGACCACCTCCATGTGTACCTTTGGTACGCATGCTTCTCATTTTGGATAGTCAGGAAACCTGCTGCCGTGCATGTTGAAGTGGTGTGGGCCGGTTGCCTTGATGAAGCATAGCTCCTATTAACATGCATCCCGGGCATGTCCCTTCGCATATACACAGAATATGGGGGTGTGGATGGAGATGTGAGCAGTACAGCGCCAGCCACCCATGGTCCTCTTGGAGACGCAGGCGTCCTGTGGCTAGCCTATGGAGACTGCAGTGATAGGCAAATCCGGAACCGAATGTCGCCAACCATAGCTGGAACTAGCTCATGTTTATTTTGATTCTATGTGGAGACAACGGGAAGCACGATACGAGGAAATTAATTACCCTGTTGATAATAAAACAAGCAATTATGCAGGCCTTTCTAAAATAGGATTTCGTCAGGCAATACATTCTGATTTGCCACAAATAAATAGCGAAAGTTGGAGGTCGTTCAAGATGTGCAGGGAAACTGGACAAACATCTATAACCGTGCCCCGGCCTTGGCAATTGTGTACTGTAGGATAACCACACTGATCCAACATCTGCATTGTCGCTAGCACGTATGATTGAAGAAACGAACAGGAATGCTTTGAGTATCTCAACAGACTAACTTTTATTCTGACAAAACATCAATCGCTGAGGTTCCGAGGCTGTAATATTTGGTATTTCACAGAGCATATTGCAAGGTGAATTTTAGACGCACATGCCTTGGACAACTTTATATGCGCTCGCTTCCTTTCCCAATGGCAGACTAAGTTGAAGTCGGCAATGCATAAGGCCGAATCCAGACTATGCAAGACACTGCAGTTCCGTAACCCCATTAAATTTTAAGGATCCGAGTCTGCTGTGCACTTATCGGAATGAAATTGGGAGTACCAATAAATTTCTGCCTGGGCTGACGAACTTCGCATAGTGTTGGTATGAATTTGGTTCCTTTAGACGAGTGTTAATATTAGAAGAACAGTTACTAGACATTCATTTATTGTGAACGAGCTTGATAGCTACTCTTTACTCTTCCTATCTTCTATTTCTTGACCGTTGTTTAAACGCTCTACTGGGTTCGCCCGATTGGTACATCCATGTCATTGTTAGTGGACGCTCATCGTCGTGATCTTCTCCGCAGCGCTGTTTGCAAGAACATATTCTATTGGTTTTTTTCTTCTCCTCACTGTTCTACTTGGTCATGTTAAAGGAATAATTTGTGTCACATAATTATAGTACCAGTTTTCAACTTTTGGGTCTGCATTCCTTATTCTCGTTTGTTTTGTGACTTTTGTTTAAACGTTTCATTTCGTCATTCTGATTGGCCAGTGCCCGTCACTGTAAATGGTCGTTCGCTTTACGCTTGGAGTGCAATGATGCTATTTTTAAGGACCTACGCGATTCGCTCTTACGTACACGGCTGCTTATTCGCCGTTGCATTTAACGTTTTTCCTTCAGTTGGTTGGCTCAAGTTTACTTTAGTAGCTTCCCTTCATTTTGCCTTCAAACTATATAAGCAACTGTGATTTCATGAATACAAGTCTTCTTCTGGCTCGTCTTGGGCTTCTTCTTGCGGTCGTGGGGTGAAGGCGTCAGCGGCGACACAACAGTTAAGAAAGAAATTTTGCCGCTATCAATTAGCGATACGTTCCGGTCCATTTTGCAATGGGAATGATGATGGATTCGGACTGAGCAGGTATCCCAGACGGGCTAATCAATATAGCACTTCATTTGATTGTGTTGGTGTCGGTCCATTAAACCCTTCCTCGTTCTCAGTTACATTGTCATGGCTAAAACATCACAAGCTTGATCAGTTTCATCTCATAGATGCTGTAGCTAATGTCAGTCGCCCGATAGCGCGCGTAAGTTCCAGTTGCATTTGTGTTCATTTTAAAATTCATACGAACTGCTTCTAGGTACGGCTCAGTATTAGCGTTGCGGCTGCGTTAATCCTGAAGCTTTGGAAAGGTCACTGCGTTAATGTGTGAAAAACACGCACTCACCTGAGTGTAATGCCCACAGGAAGAGATATTGCAGGTGTTTTGTACCAGATTGTAGCCCTTGTATTCGTCGACCCACAGTTGAGCGGCACTGTGTGAAGAACCATGACAAATAGGTTAACACAATGGATGTGGCATATTGTATGTGCAAAACGTGGGTAACGATGCCGGGCATTAAACAACCAAAATTTTACCTGGAGAACCTTAATTTCCTTGATTCACCTTAGCCATAAATATGAGTTGTGCCTTTTTGTTATCTAGACAGCTTTGTCAGGCCTTATATTTATAAATTTTGTTACCCAGCGCTCATCGCTTCTTCCTAAATACACACGATTCTGGTGGCGTGAATAACCGTCACTTCGCAAATGATGTGACTAATGTGCTAGAAGAGAGAAGACAATAAAATTCGACAGCCTTAAGCAAAGTGCCCTAATAGATACGCAAGCGGAACACGTAGACTGTCCACTACATGCAAAGACCATCAGTACGGGCGTGCCACGAGCTTTGACCATTCCGCTGAATTTGGGAGGCGAGTGAGAATTGATCGGCCAGCAACTACCAGCCCGAGTCAAAGGCATCAAACTATTCCGTCAATATGATAAACCCGTGGAGCGGAACTCACTCACACTGATTGCATACCAGACGCAGAAGAGTTAGTGACCTTGACCTCCTAAATTGGCATGTTTCATTTACCGATAACTAAAGTTAACCAATCCTGTAGATATACTCTCTCTTTTTCTACCGTGTTCTGGTCTTTTGTAAATCTTCGGTTGGTTAAGCACCTGACTGAGCAGTCAGACAGTCGCAGTCTCACAGCGAAGTAAAGCAGCAGTACAGCAGTTGTCAGTGACAGAGAGCAGAGGAAAAGAAGCAAGCGTTACAACATTCCCCATGACGTTTTTTAAGAACAAAAGACTGATAGGACAGCAGTACCGTTTAATCCCATTTTACTTTCAGTATCGTAACTTGCCTTAGCTACTCCCTAGTCAGGTTCTTTTTCTATTGGAAACCACTTCACGTACTTGATTATTCGCGTAACTGTACACCATATTAACGTCTACTTTCTATTGGCCTTTCCTCCACCCAGTCGGGCAATAGCAGGATAGACATCCTCGAGGAAGCATGGAGTTAATGCATACAGACGTTGGACTACCGACTTGGACTACTCCAAAGCATTTGATCGCCTAGACCACCACATTCTTCTTCACAAACTTTCAAACTATGAAATCGGTGACCCAGTGCTCCGTTAAACAAGCGAATTTCTCATTTAGAGTCAGCTGAATGGGAGAGTTCGTAAACCCAACTCCAATTCAATTGAACAGAAGTCTGTGTAAGCGAACATTTGTTTTCGGTAATTCTTCATCAGGCTTGTACAATTATATGAAATGCAAGCTTTTTGTATCCAGACCTAACGGGTCGTTAGTCAACCAAATTGATCTTAGTGCGCTGTGACACACCTTCGGTAAGGTTACAGTTGCAGTCGTACATGCGTACAGGTCAACTGCAGTCCGTCCTGGCCAAGGTAGGCTCAATGTCTGAGTGAACGGTTTCTGCGTGCAAAGTGCTGGTTCGTACAGCCGAATGGAGATGGCATCTGCGGCGTCTAATATCTGCTTACGGAAAGACCTTGATCGATTTTCTGGGGCATGATAGATTACTTTGAACGAGTCAGCCGACTTGGTGTCGTGACCCGGATCCGCAAGATGCGTGGCTATGGTAGAGTTGGTGACCTTCCGGCCTCCATTTCCGAGCCATGCCGGATGGTGTTCCTTCACCCTTTCGGATAAGAGTCTTGTCGTACGACCAACGTATCCTGCTCCACAGGAACAGGTAAATGAGTATACAAACATTGATTTGGTGTGGACAGGCAGCTTATCCTTGAGGTTTAGTCTCACCATTGGGCTGCTGGTGAACCGGATTTGCAACCTCGCCGCTGGGAAGGTATTCCTGAGTGTGGACGAAAGACGGCGGTATAGATTCTCGGATACAATTTCCCCTTTGTAAGGCAGTTGTAGGAAAATAGGTTTCCGTTCCGCCGTCAGGACCATATTTGCTTCCCTGTTCCGCCCCATATTCGCATTAATAAAATTCTCTGGGTAGCCATTCTCTTTAAGCGTCGATTGTATTAGCTGCAACTCTTCGAAAAGAGTATCCTTCGAGCAGATTCTTTCGGCCCGGTTCACGAGACTGAGGACCAAGTTTCTCTTAATCCGAAGCGGCACAAAGCTATGAAAGTTTGTGTACTGTCCATTCCAAGTGCACTTTCGGTAAACGCTACGTTTTATTGCACCATCTTTAAGTCTTTGTAGAGCTACATCGAGAAAATGGAAAGCGCCGTTTTCTTCTACCTCGTAGGTGAATTGTATAGCCTTGTGAGCCTGGTTAAATACGCTGGTGAGCTTCTCGATGTTACCGGAGGTGTCAAGTAGGACGAAGATGTCATCTACGTAACGGTGATATAACGTGAGGCTACTGATGACCGATTTCAATCTACCCTGTTCCAACGTACCCATGAAAACATCAGCGAGGAATGGTCCTAGCGGGGAACCCATTGCAACTCCATCGCGCTGTCGGTATATATCCCCGTTGAATAGGAACTGAACATTAAATGTACACCTTAGCAGTAATTCTTTCCCTGCCAGAGTTGGTATGCCAGTATCAAGATGGTTCTCGTTAACAAAGTTGCAAATGAACTCAATCGTTTCAAATAAAGGCACATTCGTGAACAGTGAGGTGACATCTAGAGAGCACATAGTTTGGTTCTTGATGTTGATATCACGCACAGCATCTACAAACGCAAATGTGTCCTTTAGGGTATGTACAACGACTCGTCTACGCACAGGTTCAAGAAGTTCTACCAACCAACGAGCGATCGAGTGGTATGGTGAGTTTCACATGTCCAAAACCGGGCGAAGAGGATAGATAGGCTTGTGGGTTTTGGGAAGGCCGTAAAGCCTTAGAATAACCGTGCCCACGGGGCGTAGATTTTCATAGACCGATTCGATGATATAACCACCATTCTTAAGCTTTTTGAGACGGACGCACAGTTGATTTTCGACCTGCTTTGTTTTGTTTGGCTCCCCACTCATTTTCAAGAATTTCGTATTATCTGCCAAGATTTCACCCATCTTGTTGAGATAGTCTGCTCTGTTTAGGATAGCAATGCCGGCGCCTTTGTCTGGACGGGTGAGCAGAATTTGATCGTTCCTAAGTAGTCGCTGCAGTGCTTGCACATGCTCATGTTTCACCGGTATGTTGTGCGGAACTCGTGCACGCCGATATTGATAACTGGCATGCACCAACAGGGATTTCAACTCTTCTGCATGCGATTCAGAAGTTGGGATCAGTTGCGAAGTCTGTGTGTAGACGTTTTCGAACTGTGCCTCTATTGCCAGTCTGTTATGCTTGCTAGTAGGGAGACAGAACTTTGGACTCAATGGTAAGGCTTCAATAGTGGTACGATCAAGCGGGAAACCAGACAGATTTTGGACGTATTTCTCAGGTTCGGCCGGGAAGTCGTTGTGACTCTTTCTTTATTGTCTTTGTGAGTGAAATGCGTAACTTTGCTTCTTGCTTTGTGATAATTCCTTTAATCGTTTCTTCCAGCTCTTCCTGATCGCTTGCGGATAGGCTGGTTGAGACAGCACTCACTTGGCTCAGTGCACGCTTGAGCTCATCTCTCTTGATGCGAATGGTGTCTATCTGACACAGCGCAAGACGTTTCAGGCATTTGTCGTCTGGCCTGATGCGTGAACGACGATGAGATTTCCAGTATCTCGTTGGGTAGTTGTTGCTTTCGACACACGTTTTAAGGAAATCGAGACACACATCCGCCTTCGCGATCTTGACTTTGAAGCTCACATATCTGTTGAGCAATTTCAGAACAGGAGGGTCTACGAGACGTTTAACTGAATGGAAAATACCCATTGATTGGTCAGAAGTCTGTAAGCGAACATTGGTTTTCGGTAATTCTTCATCAGGCTTGTACAATTATATGAAATGCAAACCTTTTGTATACAGACCTAACGGGTCGTCAGTCAACCAAATTGATCTTAGTGCGCTGTGACACACCTTCGGTGAGGTTACAGTTGCAGTCGTACGTGCGTACAGGTCAACTGTAACTGTACGAACCTGCTGAAGAATTACCGAAAACATATGTTCGCTTACACAGACTTCTGATCAATCAATGGGTTTTGTCCATTTAATTCAATTGAAGTCAAGCGTGGTGTACCCCAAAGATCGTTACTGGAACTACGGTTATTCTTACTACTCAACGACGATCTTGCTAGGATGCCCCAATCAGGCTTCTTACCATTTGCAGACGAGGACAAGATTTGGCGGGACATCAAGAGAGTTGGCGACATGCGACACCACAAAAAGATCTCGATATGGCTTACACATGGTTATCCGAAAAGTTGACAAAATGCAAATTTCTGATATCGACTGGGAGATCAACAACTGCAACATGCTACGTTTGAAGGCGACCTCGGAGTGATGGTGCAGGATTACTTTGGCTTTTCTGAACAGGCAGAAAAGGTACCGAGAAGAGCTAGTCAGAACCTTGGCCTTCTCCGAAGTGCGTACGGGCTGTTCGAGCCATCAAGCGCTTTGTCAATTTCGAACGCCTAAATGGGGCCCCGCGTGGAATACGCGATCAAAGCCAGGCGTCATTGGCGCAAACTCGATGCTGATACACTCGAAGCTCCACAACGTAAAGAGACGAAAATCGTTGGCGAACTGTTTCAACTCCCCTACCAAGGCAGGCTCCAAGCACTAGACTTGTACAGTGCCGAATACCGGTGCATACAAAGAGACTTTATTAGGTTGTACCAACTACTGGCTAACTCAAGTCACGCGTGTCGCGATCTGTTGCAAGTCTGCCACAATGAGAATCTGAAGCGCTAGCAGCTCAACTTGACCACACAACACAACAGTGCAGCCAGCATTCCAAACATGGTGCAACACTGCTTATGCTCTTTTGAGAATTGCGGTACATTCTTTACTAACGAGGCGACGTGTTCTAGCGGCATTAGGTCGTACCATCCTCAATGTGTAGGACAATGCGTCTAAGAAATGAGACAGAAAAACAAC